GCGTGGCCTCTTCCCACCCCGCGTCCGCGTCCTCCCAGGCGAGCGCGTCGGCGCCTCTGACCTCCGGCCGGCTCTAGCCTTGTGGAGGGCGCAGGGCCCCAGGCCGGGGACTTGCTGTCCCGTGTCCCCGCGGGAACTTCGCGCCCCTGCCGCGCAGACGCCCCGAAGGCCCTGCCTGTGCGGCCTTCTCCGCCCTGCTCGCCCTGGCGTGGTGGGCGGCCCCCTGCCCCTAGGCAGCCAAGCCGGGAACGCGAGTCCTGGGTGGGCTCCCCACCCTCACCCTCTGCGCAGGGGTGGCGCACTGCGGCGTGCGGGCCGCAGCAGCTGCTTGTCGCCCTCGGAAGCCCTAGGAGGTTGGCCAGCGCTGCTCTGCTTCTCTGGAAACCTGCGCTTAGAGCCCTTCCCAGCGGTCCCTGCCCGGGCCAGCGCCCCGCGCCCCGCGGCTCCCCGATCGATCCGGGCGGTGCGAGCTGGCCGCGTGCGCCCGCGGAGTGCTGGCCCGGCTCAGCCCGGCCTCGGCCTCTCTGCCGCACGTGCTGGGATGGGGCCACCGCGGGGTCACCGAGAGCCCCAGGCAGCTGCAGGGGGCCATGGCTCCTCGTGAGCAGCTCCCCGCGCAGCCCCAAAGGGACCATGAGGAAGCGGGCAGCTTCTGCGCGCAGCCGAGCCGCGGGCTTGCTGTCCGGAGCCTCCCGGCGCCTGTGTGCACGAAGGCGAGGTTAGCGGAGGACCCCCTCCTGAGTGTCTCCCCGGCTGCGTGCACCCAGCCGGGGGTGCGAAGGGTCGCCCGGCGCCCTCTGCGATCCTGCGACTAGCCGGGCGCGCTGGCTCGGGCCTGGCCCGGCGGGCCTGCGCTACCCCGCGGCTCTGCAGTCTGTGCACTGTTCTCGCGAGGCCCGCAGGCTCACTCAGCCGCGGCCCCGGGGTTTGACAGGGACTCGGTTAATGGAGCGGGCTCGTCTTGTGGCCTTCACAGGTTGGGATGAGTTCACCCACAGCAGTTGTCCTGCTCTGGGTACATCACAAATCTGTTTTCTTTTGCTTCTCTTTAAAAACGTCTCCTGAGTGATTTCATCAGCAGTGCTACCGCTAGCCTATATTTAGCACTGAAAATCATGCTCAGAAATCCTGTCAAGCTTCTTAAACGAGGCCTACCCATCGCTGCGCACACGGCTGATACCAGAACCTTTGTGCCCTGAGCTGGGGATGCTGTAAAATGCGTCCCGCTGCAGCCAGGCTGGGGGCCTCCGGGCCAGGGAATGTGTGTCAGACGTGGTGGGGCTCAGCCTGTGCCCCTGCACACCGAGCCGCACGGCGATGTCCTTCCCCTGTAGATAACCCGGGGTGAGCGCTGCTCTTTAAATGTCAGGCCGTTTGTTTCAGCCCCCGGGACAAGCCCTGCTGTCTACGCATCCTGTCCCTCCAGCACAGTCTCCTGGGCCAGCATAAAGTAGGGCAGTGAGGACAGCAAGGCCGCTGCTGCGTCAGTGGCACACTGCAGACCCTCCTGCCTTTCTCCCTGGTTTTCTGGAGCCTGCATGAATAATGGTCAAGTTCATTTTAAGTCAGAGCGATCGCAGACTCAGGAGCCAGGTGGGGTGGGTGGGGAAGGGCCGTGTTAGAGCGGCCTGACGGGCACCCCGGGGTGCCCCGGGTGCCTGTGGCCTGTGGTGCCACTGTATGTCAACGCAGGGTGAGGTGTGAGTGCTCGTGGACATCTCCCACGTGCTGCAGAAAGGAGGATGAGCCTCAACACCTTCACTTTCAGTAGTTGAGGTGGAGCAGAGTGCATTTAGGTCAAACTTGTCCACGAACTGCAGGCCTAATGCTTCTCTTCTCTGCAGTTTTCACCAAATGCTATGTGCTGTTCGCCTCCTTGGGCCTCTGCTCTCTCCACTGTGCAGGACCACAGGCTATGGACCCTTCCCTCCACCCCAGGGCCCCTGCGGTAGAGAGAGGTACTTGGTCTCTGCTGCTGGGGTCACTGAGACATCGGGCGCCTACAGGGTTTGAGAGCTGAGGGTCTGAAATGGGAGCCCGGGAGAAGCCTGGCCTTTAACTGCTGTTTGAGGCTTGAGGCGTATCTGTCACCGTGCGCTTCACCACTAGTCCTGCGGAGTGTGCAATGCCTGACAGATACCAACTTGGTTTTCCATAAAGTCTTGTTTGACAAGTGGATGTCACCTTGAGCAGTGTTGCCGTGGCCAGTTCTATAGTAATAATCTGTGGGGTTTGTCCCCGGTGGGGATAACTATGGTTACAAAGCACAGTTGCAACCAGTTCTTACATAATGCTTGGCCTGCCTTCCAAGAAAGCCGGTGTTTTGCTGAAGCATATGAAGTAATTTAATAAATGCTTGAAAATCTTGCTCTGATTTTATGTGGGAGGGCAGCTTAATCTGTTTTTCTCTCCATAGCTCTGATGGTGTTTTTGATGAATCAAAAAAACCCCATTTCTGAGCTTCTTTTTACATATTATATAATTTATATACTGTCTTATCCTATTGAATGCAAAGAAACTAAGTTGATTTATGACGATTTATTAAACAGGAATGGATGTAATCCATTACATTACAGAAGAATTTTCTATGAATTTCAGCACATTCAGTTCTTACATACAGGAACACACACACAGCCCATTGTTAAAGAAGGCTGAGCCCTTGAGGTTTCTCCACTGTGTGTGAATCTTCAGGACGACATTTATGGAGCGGGGATGATCGCCCAGAATGGCACAGCAACCAGAAGAGTATTAAAAGCGTCAGGCTTTTCCTAGAGAAGTTGCCCCATAAAAGAGTGTTTTGAACCCTACAAAATACTGTTCTGTGAGTGTGAAATTCCATCTTGCAGCCAGTTGGGAATTATGTATTAGTGGAGCTCAGGACTTAGCATGTGAGCTGAGGAATGGTATTGACTGACTTCCTGTTAGGAAGCGGCCCATCCTGCCACGTGGCTGATTTAAAAGACTCGTGCCCTGAACAGAGAAAGGGGCCAGGCTTTTAACGCAGGAGTCGGGCCTTTCCACAAGTGTGTGAAACTCCAAGGTGCTTCCTGTTCTCTTGTGCTGCCTGGAGTTAGGAAAGGCTTTACTAAAACACTGGACACTGAGTCCTGAGAGAGAGGAGTGCTGCGAGGAAGGGCGTCCCAAAGATAGGGAAGTGAGATTGAGCGTGGCCGGAGGTGCCTCTCACTAGGGAACAGCGTGGTGTTTGTTGGGTAATTCACCCTTGATCTCTGCTTGGGAGGGCAGTGAGGTCGGGCCAGTAGTCACAGAGGGAAGCCCTTTACACCAAAAGGAAACCTGGAGATCCCCTTGTTTTAGGCCATATCAAACCGTCTAAAAGCCAGCAGCAGCCCAGAAAGGACCGGGTGGACTGATGACAGCTGGTTGTGAATTTGGGCACTGGCCTGGAGGGAGTAGGGTGTGACAAGTGACGTTACACTCCAAGAAGAGATCTCTGGCTCTAGTGTGCAGGAGACTCCCTCAGACGGGACAGACAGGATAGTCGCCACCCAGGAGGCAACAGCAGTGGTCGGGGGACAAGATAGCAAAGGCTTAGATGAGGCCAGGGGAGAGCAGGGCAGAATGGCTGCATGTGGGAGTATCCAAGGCTAGCTCCGAGAGCTTGGTGAAGGATCAGGCATAGGAGAGGTCAGAGAGACCCTTAGCTGGCGCCCTGTATTGAAAGAAGAGGCGGCAGATTAGCTTGGGCCCTTGTGGAAGCAGTTGTGATAAAGACAGCAGGTGTGTAAACAAATCCAGAGGTCAGGGCAGGGAACAGCTGCAGAAGTGACTTCCACACTCAGGTGGTTGGGGGGCAGGTGCGCGCAGATGAGGGGCAAGGGGAAGGCACACCCCACAGAACGGCAGCCGGGACCGGCTGACCCCATCAAAACCAAACCAAGCTCATCCCAGCTGCGAGTTTCGAATCAAATTAGCCAGCGACTGTGTGAGCTGAGTAACAGTATTAACCTACATCTTTAGTCAGTGTGAAATTTTGAAGAAAACAATGATCATGACAAAAATGAGGCTGTACACCTGCCGCTTGAATAGGTCAGTAATGAAAAATGATCTCAGAACTGTTCTAACTCTGTATCAAGCAGGTGCTCTGGTTCAGGGATTGGCGAACTTTTTCTGTAAAAGGCCACAGACTCTGCGGCCTGTGTGAGGTCTGCCTCCGCCTTTCACTCGGCAGAAGCAGCCCGGGGTGCGTTGGCCTCATCGTGAGATCATGAATTACTACATTCAGACCACATCCCATCCTGTCGTGCACCGAAGATACTGCACCTGTGGGCTGCTCACGGCCCCGCACACCTCCTAATGTCACTGCTCAGCACACTCTGTGAACAGCTGCGTGCATCTCTCGTTGGTCATCAGTAGGGGAAGGAACAGGGCAGAGCGCCTGTGCTACCGGGCATGACCACCACCAAGTCCAATACACGCGAGCAGTTAACCGCACAGCCAGAGGGACACGCTCCTAAGGTGTGAAGGTTGTTGTTCATTTGCCCTTTAGAACTGGACACAGCAGTTCTGGAAATGCGTTTATTTCTAATTTTTTCATGCTGCTACTCCCTAAAGTTTTTAATTATTACTTTCAGATTTTTTTCATTTTGGTTTTCAGAGGAGCCCTGGAAGCTTATGTTCAGTCAGTGAGAAGCAGAGAAGGCAAAGAATTCGCACCAGTGTACCCCATCATGCTTCAGCTGCTTCAGAAGGCGATGTCTGCTCTTCAGTAGCAGCGTGCAATCTGTTCGTCTCCATGTGGCGCTGGCTGCTTACCAAGAATTGAAATCATAATGGACCTTTCCTATTGATCTTCTGTAGCACGTCTACTTTTAGTAGCATGAAATGTCAGAGTAGGTTCATCACCACCACCTTTAAACCCCACAGGCCTGATTCTTCCCACAAGACGTCCAACATTTTCCTCCTCTTGCCGATTTTTGTACATGGCTGGCTAAGTTACAGAACAGGTCTTCTGCCCCAGCCTGCACCTCCTTCAGGTGTATGGCTAGTGGTTCTTAAGTTTGCCTGCACTTACATCACCAGCAAAGCTTTTGAAAATCCTAATGCCCATGCTATATGCTCAACACATCTTGGGCAAGCAGTGAGGCGTTGATGTTTTAAAAATATCTCCAAATAGAAACTACAGTGTGCAGCGGTTTGGTTAGCCGCTGGTGCATCCTAGTGCTAAGACAGGGCTGAGTGCTCCTTAAATGGTACACGGTACCCTAAAGAAGAGTTAAATAAAGCTTTATACATTGTCACTTTATTAGTAGGTACTGGGCGGGCTGTTCAGCAACAGTAATCTAAGCCTTATTTTTCTAAGCTCTTGTCCATTAACTTTAAAATCAAAACATGTCTTCTGAGAGTTAGGACTTTGTTATCTCCTCATCCCACTGTTCTGATAATTCATACATAAAATTCAATCGAGATCAATCAGAAGTCAGAGATAAACTTTTTTTCATTTTATTTGAAATAATATACAAGAATATAGTGTGCAAAATTGAGGGGCAACATCATGAAGTGTAATGAACTGAAATCAATTTTACAGCTGTGATTCCTAACCAGAACACCACTTGGTAAGTAACATGAAAGCCATGATTGTAGCTTAGAGCAAAAGCAGCTGTATTGCCAATGTCTTTGCTCTAATTTTAGACAGTTGGAGGAAAAGTAAAGTGCAAGTGTTGCACTGCAATAAGTGCAAAGACTGCCCCCACCATAAAGATACGATGACAAAATATGTTTAAGATACGTGGCTGAGGATACAGGACACAAAGTTAAAAAATACAAGGGTGTCGACTGTTAATAGCACCATTGCAGTGACTATATCCCAATGCTATTAACTAACTTTATCTCGGCCCGGGCTGGTCTCCATTGGAAATAATGGACTAGTGCTGCCACCTGGTGCAAAAACTCAGCATGCCGCCAGCAACTGCAGCAGGTGGCTCTTCTCGCTGGGACAGCGACACCGTCCACCTGCCGCATGTTCTGTAGTCTCTTGGCACTGGCCAGCCTGACAGGGCCTGTGTTTGGCACAGATGCTGGGCCGTGTGGTAGGTGCTCGTGAAAGCCCGACTCCCAGCTTCTGCTTCTTTCCATCATGTATACATACGGATTAATAAGCAGTAAGGAGCCAATGTATAAACAGCAGTTACATGTCTTTAAATTCCCCTTCGTACAATTTAAAATAAACATGTATACACTTTGTCTCTTTCTACTGTACTTTAGCACCACAGGATATCAATTTTCAAGCCTATATTACCTGATAGACATATATGAAGGTTGGAAGGAAATAAGGCAATTTGGTTTACAATGTTGATAGTTTTAGCATACTTAATGCTCTAATGGAGAAAGCAAATCCTCACTCATATTATTAAATCATTTCAAGACTCAATGCTATCAGTATCTTATGGTCACACGAATTCAGGACCAACAGTGAGACTTTGATCTTCTTAAGCCTTTCCATCAAGAGTCAACGTTTATGCAACTACAGACTTAAGAACATAGCATCCTGGTTTAATGTTGTTGTGAGCCCTGTGGAAATAAAATTAAACTCAGTGAATGTTTACATATCAATGAACATTACTTCTACATATGACAGGTCAGATAGCTAGTATTTATAAATTTACTATTTTAGAAAGATTGCTTTCTCAAAAATGATTTTGAAGTCTGCTAATATATGGCTTAAGCATCCAGAAAATTTATGAAACTGGTAAATAGACTAGGAGGAACAGAAAAGGGAGTCAGGTACAGTCCTACCACATGAAATGCCAATTCACTAATCTGACAACTACTAAAGATTCTTGAAGAATTTAAAGTATGACTTGCATGTTCCTACAAAACAAGCATACAGAATGAATGTAAAACATCTTTAACCAGCCCTCTGTTAACTACTGACATCTTTGTTTTTCACTATTTCGAATTGAGCCCCTTCTGCATTATGATGTGAAACTTGCTTTTCACTGAACTAAAACATAGTATATTTGCCGAACAACGGAAAAATTCTCAGAGCTGAGCCTGTCTGAAGAGGCATTATTGTGGTGTAACTATGTTAACCATCTTCCTGGGCCTATTTTCTTTTCGTTTTTGATGTAGAGACCGAGTCCCCACAAACTCCCACACTACTGTCCTCACCAAGGACGGAGGGAGGGAGGGAAGGAAGGAAGGAAAGGAAGGGCTGCTGAGACGTGCCTCCAGTGAGAGGTCGTCTACTGCAGTATTAATCAGTTAGGTCATGTGCACCTTTCACTCCAACTAGAAACACTGCACTCCAAAGTACCTTTCCACTTGCACATTTAGGATGCTCCTTTTCAAGTTGGCTTCAACTGTCTACGCACCACACCAAGTGAGTAAATGGCACTCAGCGGTACAAAGCAAGGCAGCCTTTCGTCATAGGATGCTGTGAAAGCATCAGGCTTTGAAGTCTGTCAGTGCTGAGACCCAGTGTGGGCCCCACCCGCTAAAGGCCCTAAGAACTCCACCCAGCCGGTGCACCCAAGGGCGGAGTCACGATCACTCCAAACTACTTGGTGAAACGTACTGAATTGGTTCTTTTCCTTTTCCAACAGTCAGGATTTAAACGTTTTTGTTCTTCAGCCAAAGCCTTCGCTTCTAATGTGTACATCCTCCTCTCTTCATTCTTCATTTTCTTCCACCTGTCACCGAGGATCACACTTATGGCTCTGTAAAATAAACATTTACATAATGTTGGTGACAAGAATTTATCATAAAATTCATGTCAAGTGTTGCTGCCACTTTGGGTGGAAATGTTAAAAGTCCTGTCCACCATAAAAAGGAGAAGATCAAGGCTGTCACAGTCTAACAAAATCCCGCGGCACAGGCCCTGTGCATCTTTGCCAGAGCCTCCTGGAAGTGCGCCAGTGTCCTAACTGCAAGGACGTGGAAAATAGCTCACAGGAATATTTTACAAAGCCTAAAACTTAGAAAAAATTTAAACATTTCAAACAAAACATTTAAATTACTATTGGATTTATCCTTAGACATCAGCTGTTAAGATGTTTAAGATACAAAAACAGGATGTCCCGCATCAGCATGAAGTACTCAACTTACATTAAAAGGTATTCTGTTTGCAGTTACCATCTATGACAGAGTTGTGAAAAAGGTTTCTTGCACTCGTGCAACCACAGTGAACATTTAGCATGAACTGTGCTTGCCTTATTCTTAATCTCTCATGATGAAACCAGGTAAACTTTAGGCCGAACTTGAACTTGGAACTTGAGAGACTGACTAAACTCTAAGGCTAAGGGGAAGTCAAAGTGCTAAGATCCCTCATGATAGAAATCCGCAGCTATTTTCCTATTTACACTTGTCACTCTGCTGCCAAGCCTATTACAGTAGTCTCAACCAGGACACACAACTCATTTTTTCTTCCATGATGCAAACAAGACAGCAAGTCCCAGAGCAGCTGCAAGTCATGCTGTGCCATCAGACAGGGACAGAATGGTAACTGTGCTTTAGCAGAACAGGAACCCAGAAACTGCTGCTTTAGGAGTACACAGTTAAGTCCAGTTGTCTTTATCCACCATGCCAGTGGAGTTACACATGATGCTCTAGCTTCCTTTATTAAAAACCAGCTTTTGCAGCTTTCTGGGTAAAGGTACTAATAATAATAATGGTTGACAGACCTGCCAGTTAAGCCAGTAAGAAATTTGTATGTACACACCTCTAAGTATGAAATGGTTTTGAACAGGTAGTTAAGTGACATCTGGGAAACAAATTTACTGACAGCTTTTGAAACAAGGCCTCTGTAGCCCGTGCTGGCCTCCAACCCACAATACTGCCTAAGTGCTAGGGTTACAGGGGTGTGCCACCATGTCCTGCTTATTCTTTTGAGCTAAAACATGACAAGCAGTGAAATGTGTACAGTGATACGGCCTATAATCTGTATTACCTCCTTTCACAATTACAAAATATACACACCATCTCACATCCATTTTTGTACTGACTTTTTTGTCTACAATGACGATACTTAGAGTGAGCTCCTTTTCTCTGTATGTATTTTAAGTCTCCATTCCCTTAGTTTGTATCCAAATAAGAACTACTTCATTCATCAAATCCAAGTTATAGCTACATTAAAGAAATGGGGAAAATCCAAGTTCAAAATTATGCATCATTTTTTCCTCATTCAATCCAGAAAATAGGTACACCTGATATCCTTCAACACTAGGTGATTACCAAAACACATGGAAGCGAAACTGAAATGCAAAGAAAAAAACAAGATTTATGAGCAATAGGGGATAACCTGACACAGAGATCCTAAAAGAGAACAGAAGAAGCACACCGAAACTGAGAATAGTCCAATTATCCAGAATTATAAATAAATCCAGAAAACATCCCTGGGAGAGGGATGTCGTTGGAGAATGACTAAATGTGGTACAGGAACATAAACTCTATTTCTAGACGTCAAATACCTGTTTAGTGCCTATCAGCTTTACAGAAAGAGAAATACAGCCCTTTACCAGTCACTAAATCTTAAAGACTGGCCATCTGCTGGGGGCACAAGGGGAAGTTTACTAAATATATTCTTGGGGGCTGGGGATTTAGCTCAGCAGCACAGTGCCTGCCTGGCAAACCCAAGGTCGTGAGTTTGATTCCCGGTACGGGGGGCGGGGAGGGGGGAGAATTATCAAGTGCATCTGAATATATTCTAAATCTCTTCAAGTTCTGAAATTTATTTTCTATGAATGTATTATAGTGTAGTAATCACCAGAAAAGGAGACTTCTAAACTGAATTTTTAAAAAGACATTACAGTCAAACCACTTTTTTTAAACTGATAAGAAATGGAAGATTAAAATTTAAGAGTTAAGAACCACAGTGGTACTGAAAAGGTCCTTAGAATGCTTTACTCAGTAATTCTACACTACAGAGCCTGAAGAACCAGATAGTGAGACAAAGCCATTCATCAGTGTTACTTGTGACATTCTGTAAAGGAAACTAACAAGCACACATATAGTATATATCAACTCTCAAAGATGCATTTAGGATGAGATCCAACATGACTTCACAATTCAAATGTGTAGATAATTACTTGACTTGTGATATATATAAGGTAAAGGAAGTGACAGTTTTGATCCTCAGAAAACCAGGGAGACTGGAAGATGACAGTTTTAATATAGATGTAAATGGCTGGCACAGGACAGGGTGGACTTGAGTACATTTTTATTCCTGGACTACGCTGTGGACAACTTTTAAGTTTTAACCTTTTGATAAACCTGGTGGCATTACATTCCACAGTAAGACTCTTATGAAATCCTGGCCTTTGGATACAAGAGGCGATACAGTCTTCTATAGAAACAGAACCATGAGGGTCAGAATTACATCCTTTAAAATGTAAATGGCATTTACTGTCATTGTGAAAGGTAGATCCTTGAAGTCAACCTATGAAAATACGAACCACTCAATAAAAATTAGTGACAAGTAGTATCCCAGTTCCTATGAACTACTCGGCATTTAGAATCAGAATTACTATTATATTTACCTGTTATCTTTCCCTGGATACATCTGAGTATATTCAACTCTGTACTTTTTGGCAAAAAGCATGAAGGCATTCATTGGTCTTTTACACTTATTAGGAGAAGTGGCACTCACAGTCCCTGAGCTGTGGTTTTTGACAGCTTTAGCATACAAAGAACTGGAAGAGAGCTGTGACGGTCCAGGCGAGCCACAATTTTTACTGAATCCAGATCCTGCAAAGTCTTGACCACTAGGTCCTCCACAAGACAAAGATGCACGACGCTGACGAGCCATACTACTCAACACGTAAACTGCAGAAGAATCCATAGGTGTGAAGTCATAGCTAGAAAATTTAAAAATAAAGAGGTTTTAATACAATTTGGATCATACAGTTTCTAAAACCAGGGTTATCAAACCTTAACACCAATTTGGAAATTTCAATGCACCTTTCCTTACAGGGTGTTATCAACACTACTTTAACAAGTTTGACATTGATACTTATAAAACTTTATGTATGCATTGACTAAATCAACTATTTAAAACAAAGAAAACCTCTGCAAATATGAAATTTTTTTTAAAAAACTCCCAGGCCGCCCTCCCCGAGAATCTTTGCAATCAGTGTACTTTTTTCAGGGCAAGAAACTCCTCCAGACCCCGCACAGCCCATTTAGTCTTCCTTCATATGGCTTTGTAACAATCTGATGTCTTGGTCTAGCGAGCCTAGATCCAGAACGTAAACATGGAGTGGTAGGCATGAACCAGGCCTGAGACTGAACACTGCGAAAGATGGGTCAGGTACGGACAGCCAAAGCTGGTTGGCACTGCTAAAAAACAACGTAAAATGCACAGTACTCTGGTAATGTACACAGGTTGAAAGAGACCTAGATAATCGAGTCTTCTAAAAGGCCAGTCGTGTATTATAGCCTAGTATCTAAAGAATTCATAGCAGAAACTGACCTTTATCAGGAAATGGCACATTTTAGCTGTACATTCTGTTTACGCAGCATGGAAATAAACAATCCACATTCTCTCAACAAGCCTGCATGGAAGGCGGCATTACCTTTTCTTTCATATGAAGAAAAAGGCAAAAAAGTATATTCACCCAAGGCCAGATGACTAGGATCCAAACCCAGAAATAAACCCAGAACTAATACCATGTTTTACCTTACATTGCCATGGGCTCACTCAGGGTAAACAAATGGTATTAGCTGAAAATAGCAGCCAAAAATTACAGAGCTAGCGTAGACCACAACCTGGAGATAAACTAGAAGTATTTGTGTTTCAACTGTTAAGTCTTTCTGCTTGTACTTCTTGGCAGAAAACCTTTATTCAGCCTTAATTCGGAACCCAGCTCCTGCCTTTCCTTGACACAGATACTCTGATAATATATGAAAATAGGTTCTCATTAGCTATAGTAATACCGTCTGCCTGCAAGTAAAGCCTGGGATTTATGAGATTATGAAATAGTATTCTAAAGACTGAAGGGAAGAGCTGAATGAATAGGTCCATGCCATTTTTCTTAAAGGTATTATGTGAAATAAATATACTTAAGATTGCAAATTACCCACTGAATACTTAGAGGTTCATACTGTCATTTTTCTACCCTAGAGTTGCAACGTTTCTAAAGCATCTTAAGCCCCTCCCATATAAAGTTCACAGAAACAGCAAACTTAAGCAGTATAAATGCATCTGACAAAATTAATTCAGCTCTACTGCAAAACGTTACAACTCAAACAAGCAAAAGACACAGGGTAAAGTGAATTACTAAAATCTGAAAACACCATCTAGTGGTACAAACCTGTCACCTAATTCCACTATGGATACAATTAAATCAGTTTGAAACATTCAATCACAGGTCCAGGATTGTGCCACAACTACAGCATTAAGAAAGGACATAAGGGATCTTTTAGAATCCCTTAGCCTTCTGCTACCCTTCCTCAGGTCAGCAGCTGTTCTCAGCCCTGTACGGCTGCTCCGCTGCGCCGCGCCGCGCCTCTCCTCTCCTCTCCTCTCCTCGGCGAGTGCCAGTCCTTGCTCAGAACACCCTTCACACCTTCACTGCTTACTCAGCACTCTCAGAGGCAACTTGCCACTCACCGAGACACAGACAGCTGACTTAATCCTCCCTTCAACAGTATCTTTGTATTGCCAGGTATTTTGTTTTGTTTTGAACAGCTCAGGAAGGTTACTTAACTTACCCAAGCTCCCACAGGAAATCTACTGCCCAGCTGGGATCTAAATCCAAGCAGTTCAGTTTGGGGCAAAGACGCAGGCCCATGCCTTAGCTCCTAATAATGCAAAGTCTAAGTTGGTACAGTGCCCAGTGCTGCCACTTACTAATGACATGATTTTGGGCAAGTAAAACAAATAAACCTCTAGCCTCAGTTTACTCAGTAACTATAAAATACGGAGTAATACATGCTATGCAGGGCTGCTGAAAGAACATGAAACACTTAAGGCAGAGGCCGGCACCTAGTAGTACTCAATGAGGATTACCTCCTGTTACTACAGAAGAAACCTAAGTGAGTAGATACCGAGTATTAAATTCTTCACAAGGTAAACACTGAATCCTAATTCTGACCCTGGCTCTGGTTTGGGCATGTTCCTTACCTTCTCTTACCTTTAGACCTCACTCCATCTCCTCCTATAAAAAAAGAGGCTATAATCTAAGAGGGTACTGGGATTAAACAAGTGGGCACTCAGTAAAGTTTTAAATTATCCCGTTACTTCAACAGAATTGCTAGCTTCACAACACACAAAATGACTCTTTCTAAGCCTGCCTGATGCTCAGACTGGCCTCAATTCTCAGCATCTCCAAATGGGCTTTTTCATATCGTATGGTCACTACTTGGGGGCTTCCTGACTAAAGCAGCGCCTCAGATTGGGTTTACAAACTCATGTGTTGATTTCCGCTTCATACGAAGCTGGAAAGTCTTTTTCTGTAAACCACAATCCAAAACCTTGCCCCAATCCCCGAGTGTGCCCGAGAATTCACTCGGGGTTCTCTCGGAACAAGCTTCCTCCTCCTTCTCACTGTCCCTGGGCAGGCAGGACTGTCCCTTCTCACCACAGTGGTATTTAGTCAGCTGCTCAACTTCTCCTGGTTTCTCCTGGGTCAAACTGCCATTGCCCGCCCTTTGCAGGGAGAGAGAAAGAGCAGTGTTAAGGCTGCGGTCAGTAGCAAAATGAGGCCAGTGGCCAAGGTCATCCTTCACTAGGAACATAGGGTGAAAACTTGCCACTGTGGAAAAACAGGAGTTGGGCAGCCAAGTCTTTTGTGTTAAAAAACAAACTCTGTACTACACAATTCTTGATACACAGATTTAATATATCAGGTTACAAAGCAGAGCATAAATATGACCAGTGAACCTAAAATACAGATTAAGAAACAGTATTTCTACTATCACTAAAGTTCCAGAAGCACCACTCCCAGATACCCACTCTAAGTGGTTTATTGGTTCCTTTCTTTCTCAGTAGTTTTGTGAAAATAATATACTGGTCATAAATATTACAGCAGCACTAATTACATTAATATGTTCACTCTAGTAACTTTTGTAAGAAGATTTACTATAACAAGTCGGACCCATTCACCAGCATCTATAACTTGGATTTCAGGACAGCCCTCATCGTTCCTACAACTGCTGAGATTGGCCTACTGTGTATCACTCTGTGCTTAATCTGGGTACAGATAATATGGTATACTCGAAACACACGAATTCCTTTACAAAATTTGGAATTTTAGTAGCTTCCAGTAGAGGCAATAAAACTCCCAGGTCCTAAGTGTCTAACAAACTTTCCTGCTACAGAACGGTGAATGTATGTCCTCACCACTCAATGCTGGGGGAATGAAGCGTACCCTCTGTGTTTCTGCTTCTCCCACACTTCACCCCTTATTTCCTCCCCTTCCTCTTGTTGCTTTTTCTTCTGCCCTAATAGATCACAGGCACAAGCACAAGTGTGTGCTGAGTTTCCTGAGTCTTCCCAGTGAGCCACTGAACCTAGGGGGACAGCACTGGGGGACCACACAAATTAGGTAATGTGTATTTCACAGGGTATATGAAGCTTCAATGTATTCTGATTTTATTAGATCTCTAAAGAACAGACTCCATCAAAAATTGAACCACATGAATAATACTTTCATGGTTCAGACTAATTTTTAGTGAATTTTTAAAAACTGATACATGTTTCAAATGTGTGGGGCTCATTCATTTACAACTGACAAAAATATTTCACTGTATGATTCTACCACAATTTATGTAATAAAATCCAATTAATCAATATTGATGTTTCTGTATTTGTTTTTGCTGTCATGAACGAAAGAGCTATGAGCTTATTTACACATTTCCGTTTATACAAGAACTTACTTCTCTGGAGAATATTTAGCAGAGGAGTAGAATTACTGACATTGACCTTTACAAGATAAAGCCAAGTTATCTCCCTAAACTTTTCTATCTGGTTAAATTCTTACAAAAAGGAATTATCAGGGGCTGGGGATTTAGCTCAGCGGCAAAGCGCCTTCCTGGCAAGCGCAAGGTCGTGAGTTCGGTTCCCGGTACCGGAGAAAAACCAAAAAAAAAAAAAAAAGGAATTATCACTGATCCACATCCTAATACTTAAATCAGTCTTTAAAATTCTTTCATTTTCCTACAGTTTTTCAAAAAGGAAAACATAGGAGGAAATGGAAAAGTATCTAGATTCTCATCCTGTAGACATCAACTGAGCAAATGACCTGTGCCAGGCTCTACGCTGGTTGCTTTTAAGACAATAACCTCACTTTTCCTTACAATATGCAAAATATTAACCTTATATTAAACTGAATGGAATAAAAGTTATAGGCCAGCAGGAACTCATGAATTCTCCACTTAAGGCCTACATATACCAGTGGATTTGGTATCTATCAAGAAGAAAGAGTAAGTCTTAAAAATCCCATTTATCTACATATAGACTATCCTGGGCACCTTTTGGAAATAGATGATCAACTGTCAACTGTCCCAAGCTGTGTAGGATCTAGTATTCCAGCAGTGCTAGGCTTTTAGTGCTAAGAAATCTCATAAAAATTGAGACAGCTCGTCAATGAGTTAGGACTTGTGGACTCTCGTGGTATTATAACAAATAATAATTCTGCTGCTTAGAAGCAAGGTAACCTCAGGACAAACTGCATCCCTCTAAGTTTTCTTGAATGTTGAATTTTTGCCAGGTTTGTTAACTGTTTAACCATATAATGGATGCCCTTGGTCAAAATGAATATTACAGAAAGATGCAGTTAAGTGCTCCCAAAAAAGAAAGGATACAGTTAACTATAATCGTTAAGACATTTATGTGCTGATAAAAACAAATACTAGGGACAGCGATTTTTTATGTTACTATTTTTTATGTTACTGACCTATTAAATTGTTGGCTATATAATATTTGATATTTTTCTTCATCTAATCCTGTTTTTATTAACTCACCTGTCCTATCTGGCTACTCTATATAAAATCCCCCTTAGCTGTTATTTTTCTTTAATTATCTATTTTTTCATTTAATCCTATATATGCTTTTCTCTAAGTAGTTCTTTTGTAATGCTCAAACCTTTACTACAAAACTTTAACCTCTTAAAAGTTTGATTTAACAACCACCAAAGAAATTAGAAACCTTTAACAGAAAAACAATCCAATATTACCTTTTAAATGTATCAAAAACACCTGAATCATCAAAATTAATGGCATCGGGGTGTCCGGGAGGTAGACAGACATCGCCAATATGGATCTCACAGCATGGAATGCCATGCTGCACCACAGTCAAGCTTGGGTAGAATGAGGACCAACCTAAAGAATTGCACAAAGATGAGGATGAACAGAAAGCACCCTAAGTGTGTCATAAAAGACATATTTCTGTGTATTAATAAAGCTATTAAAATCTGAAGTGATTTTCTAACACAAATAACTGCAATAAAGCATGTACTGGGTAAGTACTTTTAGGAATGTGAAAGCCCTCCAAAAAGTTTTTTCTGCATTTATTTATATATAGGTCTCTATCAACAAGCACTTCCATCACTATACAAGACAATGAGTGATAAACGATGACAATGAGTGATAAATGGTGATAAGACTATGAAATAGTCTCCGAACTATTAAATTCCACATAACATGGTGTTAGTATAAAAGCCTCTGAAGACTGATTCAATTTTACAGCATATTTGGTAACTCTAAACCAAAACAAGATTAATAGAATACTAAAATCCTGAACTATATTCCAAGATAATGGATAGCTTAACATGCTACATGAATCTAAAATTTCTCATACTCACAGGAGGTTCTACCTGACTACCACTAAGATACTTAGCCACTATCAGTATTGGAAGTATTTCCTGTGGTCATGTTATTTAGTTTGAAATACATTTTTGCTTCAATTTAAAAACCATTCTTTAAAGAGTTACAAGTTTAGCAGAAGCCTACCTTTATTTTTAACATAGAAAGGGTGGTCCAGCTTACACTCTACTGTAAGTAAACCATCTTCTACTGTGCCAGGATCAAAAGTCAACTTCAGCACAGATTCACCAAATGATACACTCTCTTCATGTGATAACAACTTCAGACCATCAGAACCATAGCCCTGGAAATGTATGCACAAAGTAAGTGAATTGAAGTGCTCAATTCAACAAACAGTGATGTGCGCATTGTATGTAAGACTGGAAAAAGATAAAAAAAAATTTTTTTAAATTTAAAAAAAAACCAGAGAGGATCTCTCTCTGGCTTTAAAGGGCTTTCAACTCAGTGGTGAAAAGAAAGACATACACAGAAATAACTATAATGTAAAGGCAGACTGGAATTAGCGCTTTAAATCAAGTATAAATAATGGAGTTTAGTAAAGGAAGATATTAATTCCAAAGGATAGAGATTAGAGAGGGCTTTCAATTCCATTTCTACAGAGACTGAAAAACCAAATTTAGACAGGTAGAAGAACATGCCTTGCACCAGAACCGTTGCACTAAATACCTTTTCTCAGGAGTGCTGAGCACTCTTTAAAGAGTGCCAATTCAAGGTAAGTTTAGGCTTGGGGTAAATAAGGCTGGAAAGAGAGGCCGACTCAGAAACATCTTAGAGATAAGCGAAGCACTTAAACTTTCACTTAGAAGATAATGGGAAGTCAGCGGAAGTATTTCTATTAACATGACCGTCAACTTTAAGATGGTAATTGTGTGCAAAAAGGGAATTATTCAATTAGTTGAGAATATAGTGAGAGATACCCTTACAATCTGAATTGGTAAGAGTAATGGTAGTAAAACCAGGTTAAATTCACCGAATATTTGAGCATTTAGTACATGCCCGGTGGAAGGTGCTGAAAATACCAACATTACAAGGCATGATCCTTACCCTTGAACTCTCAGAAAAATACACGACAACAGCCATCTATGTGTAGTGTGCAGTCATTAGTATACTAGTATATGAACAAGAAAAGAATGCTACAAATCCTTATGGAAAGATTCAACTGAGTATGATGGGAGTTAAAGGGAATAGTAAGACAGCTTCATGGTTTTGAATCTGGCCATCAAGAAGGACAATAACTTTAAAAGAATAAGGAGAAATTCAGTCAGAAAGAGAAAAAATGTGTGCAGTTTTGACATATTAAGCTGAATTTATTAACGTGGAGATGTCTAACGTAAGCTGGAAATGTGCAGTTAAAGTTTACAGACACATGCCTGTAAGTAACCTAACTACAGAATCTTCTTAGAACTATTGGAAACGTCACTCCAAAGCCACTCAGAGAGCAGGAAGGCTAGGTACAGGGGTCAGCAACGTGCCTGAAGGTGAGCCCACAGACAGCTGCTGGCGGCGCCAGAGACCCAGGTCCCTGACTGCCCGCTCCGGAACAGGAATGAAGCCAGCACAACTTTGTTGCATGTGTGCTACTCTGGGCAGACAAGCAACAATGAGAAAGAGAGAAACGGGGCGCTGCCATGCTTCCGAAACAGGGAAGACAGGTCAGGAACCAAGCCAGTAAAGTGAGCCGAATGGTACAGGGATGGCAAGCATACCAAGCAAGAGCCTCCGCTCCTAGAAACTGGGATAAAGCTAGTAAATCTGGAGACCATTTTAGTAGAGTAATAATAGAGGCCGAAGTCAGACTACTGTGCACTTTACTAGGATGAAGAGAATAGCAAGATGGAGTCCCTGAAGGCAGCCAAGTTGAAATTTTTTTTCAAGAGATTAAACAGCAGGAGACAAGATCAAAAAAGTAACTTTAAGCAAACACATTTCACATCCCCATTTTCTGTGCCTACAGATAAATGCAGAAATTAAGAGTTCAAACTGAAAGAGGTGTTAATTGATACCTATCTTAACATCCCTCCCTACTGCTTTTGCTTATCAATTTAGAAAGTAATACTGTTTTATGGTATCATTTGAAAAGTAACAACAATCAACTCTCAATTACCTACAGGAAAATAAACATTTTTTTAGACTACCTAAGACAAGGCTTTGGTCAGCATATTTATTTATTATTTACTTTTAATGCCAGGTTAGTAACCCCCAGTATAAAATTTATAAAACACGAAGAATGCCACAAAGTATGCTCTTTACCCCATTTTAAAAAGTGTAATTAGAAAGGTAAGTCTGAAATTAGTGCCCCTGTCCCTCGGGCTAAGAAACAATGAATTATCAAAAATCTCTATTGAAAATCTAACACATCCTGTAAACGTCAAAGTAAATGGGTTATTTCTGTAGGTTAACAGTAAATCTTATTTCGTTCTGAAAGATTCTAGAACATTTTAAAGATTTTAAATCAACCTTATGAGTGCCCATTTGGAGATCTTCCTCATTATCACAGCCTTCGGCTCTAGCAAAATCTTCTGCATCTTGCCATTCCTTATTGCTTCCCTTATGAAAGCACAGTCGTGTGCCTGAAGTTTAATGAGAAAAAAATATTATATATGTGACTATTGTGGCTCACAAGGAAGCTAGAAAAAGGATATTCAAGTATTTTTTTACCTTTTAAAAAACAGTGCCAGACAGTTGAGGGCCAGGAATTGCACCATCCCAAGTCATCGTCATCTGATAGGGAGGACATGCAGAAAATGCCAGATTCTGACTCACTGTTTGCCTAGCAAGAAAGATGTTATAAACATTTATTTATTTACTTGTTTTTATGGTATAAGGGATCAGATGCAGAAGTATACTATTTTACCACTGAGCTGCATCACCAACCCTTTTTCTATTTTCATTTTCCAACAGGGTCTTGCTAAAGCTGCCCAAACTGGTCTCAAATGGGTCCCCCGAGTAGCTGGGATGTAGGTGTGTACCACTACACCCACCTTAATATACTTCTGAATACCTATTCTTATCCCAAACCTTCAATTTAATCATTCCAAACTCAGGGGAGGCCGGGCGTGGTGGCACATGCCTGTAATCCCAGCACTTTGGAGGCTGAGGCAGGAGGATCATTGCGAGTTCAAGCCCAGCCTGAACTGCATAGTGAGACCCTGTCTCAAAAAAAAAAAAAAAAAAAAAAAACTCAGGGGAAAATATACTTCGAAGAACTGAAATATTTGTAAGCTTTAATAAAAATACACACTTCCATTTGTTACAAATTTTCCTAGTAGGTAACAGAGCTGTACATAAACTTGAAACTAGATCACCAACAGAATAGAACATACTATTTCCCACTTGTATTATTTCAAAGAATTTCTCAGATGAGGAAAGGTAATACATCTCAACTACTATATAAAATCTGTCAAAATTTCACCAACTAAACTCACCCTCTCGTGTCTCACTGGTGTTTCCTCCTTCCAGTGGTGATGAGGGAAGGCTGGCTCACTCTTTGAAGAGGAGGACACTGGTGGGGGGCGTGCATAGGAATGTAAACTTTTGCTTGTAGCAATGATGTGTACAGGAGATGATCTAAAATAAAGCGGCACTTTTTACCATGAAGCATAAGCCCTTAAAGTAGATTTCTTTTTCCTTCTGATGAAAAGAACATCATACTCCAAGTGCCAGTGTTACTACATATAGGACAGGTATGATAAACCATTACTTATAAAGACAGAAAGATTTCCTTCATAGGAATATGCTAGTCCTTCACTTCTTACCCAAACTCTATTATATGTATCACATTTAACAATGTATTTTAAATTACTATTACTGTTTCCTTTATTCTACTTTTCTCTCAATACATATGTACGTACAGCTTTCATTTATGAAGGCCAACCCCTGTGCAGGGCTCCCAAACATTTGTTTTCTTCTCCTCTGATCTGTTCAGGAAGTCTCAGTATGGACAGAGCACCTACACTTAGTAACATACTAAGATCCTTCCCTCACAGACAGCAGATGTCCAAGAACAAGGACAGTAAAAAGCAGCCTGTGAAGGGCGACGCTCACGTGTAGATGCGGGAGTCTGGAAAAGCAGTAAGGAGGAAAGGCCAAATAGATATGTAATTCCTAGACAATGAGCTCAATTCCAGTGACTATCTAAATTGCAGTTTAGCCATCTACTAGATGATTAACAGCATAATTTTAAGATTGGAAAAATATTTTGTAAGGACAAAAGTTTTAAATAAAAATACAATCAAGTCAATGCTCCTACCTGTTGTAAAATGAGCACTGCATGAGCGGGCTTTGTGGACTGGTGGCAATATTTGCTAATTCTGTCAGCCAATCGACCTCATTTTCATGGTAAGTATTTTCCGATATGTCTGAGGTATTCTGGTTCCAAGATGATCTTGGATACTCTTGATGTGAAACATCTGAACTTAGCTGGTATATGGCAGACTGGGTAGGATCACTTTGAACAGCCTGAAGTTCAGGGAGGTCATCTGCAAGTAAGCATATTCAGAATTACAAAAAGAGAATTGTATTGTACTAATACAGTGAGTGCTATCGTAACTACACCTAGAAGTCCTCAAATTTAGCTCACTGACTTTGTAGGAAGGAAATCCTAATTCAGAATTACATTCAACCTGTTCTTGAATGAAACACCTTTCAAGTTAAAAAATGACACCTTGTACATTTCAGGATCCACAAAGCTTGCTGGGAAAGTAAACCATAAATGTAGCAAAGGTACACTACCTAAACCAAGTTATTCACAGTCTGAAAAAGAGAGGTAAGTGTAGATTTTCTGCTTCTTCCTCCTAGTTTTTTGTACCTCACCTAGCAGTGATCTATATACCATGGAGACATTTTTACAACAGTTTAATGAAGAAAAAGGGATTTTGTGTGTATGTGTAGATACTATTTACACAGTTTATTAACCTGCTATACAAATAACTGTAATACTGAAAATAACAATTTCCAAAGGTAAGAATACACATCACACTATGCGTTTTTAGGTACTACTTCCACAAATCTGTATTAAGAGTTTGTTGGCTCCCCTGCCCCAAGTGCCAAGGATCAAACTCTGGGCCTTGTGCATGCTAGGAAAGTGATCTATCACCATCAAGCTATGCCCCCAGCTCTAAGAGTATTTCTTTTTACTAACAATTTCTGAACTTTTTTTCCTGTAAGTATATTCCCCAAAGGTAGTTTGAGATAAACTTTTAGATTTCCAAAATTAAAACTACAGACACTACCCAAACAACACTAGAAAGAACACTGAGTCAAAGAGAAAGAAACACAATTTAAAAGGAAGGAAGGGAAGAAGAAGAGGAAAAGGTAAGGGGACGGGGATGGGGACGAGACGGGAGAGGAAACATACAGAAAGAAAAAATTTTCTAACCCTTTAAAAAACAAAAAACTCTAGCCGCTCTCTATAAAACATACTACAGACCCACTGGGTCCCTTAAATATACGTGTTAATATCCTATTAGTTCCTATTCCGGCCAACACTAAAACTGAAATATTTTCATTAAAAGTAGTAACTCAGGATGTCCACTCCTAAAACTGAAAAGCCAAAGAGTTCTGAACACCACGCCCTCCTCACATCATTCTACCCTCCAGTTCTCATGCTGGTGTAACTATTTTCCTTCCTTTGTTGCCAACAACTTTACTGTGACCATCAACTTTATTACAGAGGGTTCATCTCCTTCAGTTTCAAGTAATTACTTATGTCACAAATAGAAAAGGGCAAGTTTTTTATTCCCATGGGCCTGATTTCCTCTTGAAATCTGAAACACGACTGGGTAATTAACTGAGTACAGCAGTGTTCCTTGCTCAACAAGAACCATACCCAATCAATATCAGGGTCCAGAAACCCCAGCATTCCAACACGCTGTGTCCCAAGGCTTTCACGTTCTCCAAATTCCCACTTATTACTGTGATCTGGTCTCTTCCACTTTATCACTTGCACAGTAAGGACAGTCACGCCTTCTCAGAGTTTTTATGAACATTAAAGGTAACCACATATTAAATGGGGACAAAGCCAAGCTGAAAAGCTGGGCAAGCCAAGGGCACTCATTAGCTATTTACTCTTAACACCAGCCTTAAAGGAATACAATTCAAGTTTGTCCCTGAACAAACTTACCCAAACCTACAGGCCATACACCTCTGGAGCAGCTCAGCAGCAATGACCACCGCAAATGTCAGACCCTCATATTCAAGAGATCAGCTAGTTAGCCTTATAGAGCTTACCAGGAAGATGTTTCAAAAGTTAGTATCTTTTAAAAAGTCACCTCGGGGCTGGGGATTTAGCTCAGCAGCACAGTGCCTGCCTGGCAAGTGCAAGGTCATGAGTTCAGTTCCCTCTACTGGAAACCCCCTGCCCCTCCCAAAAAAAAAAAAAAAAGTCACCTAGTTGGGTTTTCCAGAGGTATTTAGTAGTCTGAACTTTTTACAATAAAGCAGTTTAAATAATTTGTAAATAAGTTTACAATACTCCTAAGTAGCTCAAAGGTCATGTTGGTTTTAAGTGCTATTTTAAAAGAAAGAACAAGAAAATGTTGCAAATTCCTAATATATAAAAACTTCATATACTTCTTTAGCCAAGCAGGGTAGGTAGAGCAGCTAACTAAACATGAAAATCAGTCCGCATCTGAGAGAATTCTGTTTACCAAGCTCCATGTGCTCATCACAGGAGTTGTACCCAGGTGAGGATGGCAGGTTCTCATTACACTGCAGCAACTCCAGGGAGTCGTTCATTCCCGGCGTTCTCTTGTCCATCACCAGCAGGAGTTTCTGTACTGCATTAGGCATCTGGTTTGTCTTCACTTCCCACACCATGTTATGGTGCTCTGACTTAATAAAAGTGAGAAAAAGTGTCAACTTACATGATTTGAAGATTACAGAAACATAAAAGCAGGGACATCACTATGTTACAGTTTCAACTTACTCACACATGGCCATTCACACCGCCCTCAGCTCGTCTGGACCAGGACCTCCCTATCCTTGCCCTATGACTCCCACACTCAGCACTGCATTACACATAAATCATAAAGGATTAATACCCTGAATTTATAAGTCTTGTCTTCTAAATAATAACAATTATATATATATATATTTTTTTTTTCTTTAACCTTGTAACCCCTTTCAAATACAAATGTTAAGAATGACAAACTGTTTTTAGATTCAAAAGACTGCAGAAATATTCTAAGTTTTGGAAGACTCTATTACATTCTATTTACCAGCTGTCTTCAGTATTATTTCCTTGTATTCTGTACATTCTCTATATAACACTGGTTCTTGTTAAAAGTCACTAAAAGCCTACACTAGGCTCAACAAAAATACAAGTAAAGAAGTTAAGGGGCTGGGGATTTAGCTCAGCGGCAAAGCGCCTGCCTGGCAAGTGCAAGGTCGTGAGTTCGGTTCCCGGTACCGGAGAAAAACCAAAAAAAAAAAAAAAAAAAAAAAGAAGTTAATTACTATACTTAGTATTTATACCAGTCTTCTAAATCGGGGTGTAATGAACAATAAACATTGACAAATTTTTTTGTCTAAAGGTTTTTTCATGATCTTCATTATGAAATGTACTTCTGACTATAAAATACACAGTAACTGCAAACAAAAATTTTAAAGGAATATGTTCAGTTCTAACCCCACCAACTAAATTTAGATACTATCCTGCTGATATCCTGTGTGTTAGAATCTAAATTTTTTATACATCATATTTTTTCATGCTTCATATTATAGTTGATAACTTCTTTCTTAAGTTCATGAGCCTTTTTCCTTTGACTTTTCCCAAGATCTACACAAACAATATACTTTATAAGGATGTACCAAAATTTCCTGGGTTTGTATTACGATTTTCTGAAAGTATTTACTTACACATAATTACAGATTCCCAACTTCAGATTGTTAAGTAGTAGACAGGCACCTCACGTTCTTACATATATAGCTAAACTGCACACTGCCTTAGTTTAACGTTCTATTTTTGGATGCTTTTTGCCTGCACCCTCAAAAATGACCCTTAACCTGGGCACTGCCTTAGAGCTTTCCTCATCAACAACTCTAAGATAGGGCCGGGTATAGCTCCACGCATAAGCAACTTCGTGGCAAGTGCAAGGTCCTGAGTTTGATCCCTGGTACCAAAAAAAAACCAAAACGAAACTCTAAGGTAGATGTACTATAATACTATGATGTAGTGAAATGGTACTGAGTTGGATGTAAGGAGACATGGGTTCTGGTTCTAGCTGGATAACTCGGTAAATACAACACCTAAGTGACTGAGCTGCTCATTAATTAACTCTGCATTCTGATCTGTAAAACACTGCTAACACTACTCTACCCCCACCTCCCCTCCCCACAGGATAAATTTAAACAGCAGAAAAAAATGGAAGACTTCTTCTAAATTTTCTATCCCTAGATTGTAAGGTACACAGATACTGTGGGTTTTCTTTTAATGTCTTAAATGGCACAGTTATTTTTATTTATGTTTATTAGTACATGTTTGCTGTACATAATGATTATATTCCTTGTGGGGGTCTAAGTAGAACAATTATTGAAAACAGTTAATTGCAGAAAACCTCATGGTTATTCAGTTCTGGCAATTTCTTCCCTGGGAAATATTATGACAAGTCATTCAACACATCTCAGTAACCATCATGTATTATTCCATTACATTAGGCAAATAACAGTTTATCAACCTAAAAGATGCTGAGGCATTTGAAGAAAATTAAAACCATCTCCAGGTTAGTACAATGTAGTGATAAATTAGTCTTAGTATGTAGGTAAGCAACTCTGCTGGGGTATAATAATTTCCCACAAAACTGATGACTGGAGAAAATATATTTCTCAATTATCAAAATTCTGAGTTTCTATACAGTCTTGAAAAAAAATTAAGCAAAGGTGGCTTAATCCATGATTTTTCCATTCAACTTCTACAGCACGAAGAATTGTATGAGGCATGACTGAAACCAAATGCTTAAATTTTGAAAAGTATTTATTACAGTAAGACATACTGCAATTAATCCCCCCTCAAAATACTTCCCTTTGCTTCAGATACACTTATCCCATCATTCTTGCCACTTTCTGAAGCAGTTCTGGACGTCTTCTTTCATGTTTTGAGGTGTGAATACAAATGTGGCACATGCCTGAAATCCTAGTATTCAGGAGGCTCAGGGAGGAGGATCGCCATGAATTTGAAGCCAGCCTGTGCTACCATGAGTTCAAGGCCAGCCTGAACTATCTTGTAGCAAAAGGGGAGGAAGCGGGGGTAAATGCTGCTGTTAAGGGCCATGCAGTGGAAAAGCAGGCTTATAAAAACATCAGCGTCCTCATCCACCTTCTTCACTGGATCTGGCACCGTGAGACTTCTGGCTCTTCTCCAAAGTCACAATGACCATGAAAAGTAAACATTCTGAATAGATTCAGAAGATTTAGGCCGCCACAACAGTACAACTAAGGACACCCACAAAAGAAGACTTTCAAAACTGCTGCAGGAAGTGGAAAAACAAATGGGGTAAGTGTGTTCAAAGTGAGGCAGAGTATGTCAAGAAAGATTAATGGCAATGTGTCTTTTACTGTAGTATGTTTTTTTAAAACTTCACCATGTTATTTTGATCACACCTTGTATGTGAGCACATTTTAACACTTTCCATAGCAGTCTATCCAGTATCTTAGATATATAGAACATAATTTAACTCATCTTGATGACTCAAAATCTTTATGAACATCTATACTATGATTCATATATACTTACGAGTAGCCTAAGTTAACTCTAGTGGCAATCTTAAAATTTTTCCCGTTTTTCAGCATTATAAAGTTTAAAGATCGCACTCCACATATACCTCTCTTCACAGTTATCCTCTGCATAAGAACGGTGCTGTTCTAGGGGTCCTAGGGGCGCACTCTGCCAGTTCCTCTTGTCTTCCCGCTCCCTCTGTAGAGCTCTTCGCTTTCCTCCTTCCTCCCAGCTAGGTTTTTTTCTCAGCTGCAGAGTGCACCATTCACCATATATAGCACCTAACATCTTGAAACCATTATCATTTCTTCAGCATTTTGTGTTAGTTATCTGTCACCAACCCATCACAACACTCCTTAAATGAAATTGGAACAAAAAACATTTTAATTTCAAAGCAGAGCTACCTACAAATAATGACAGGGTCAAAATCATGACTCTGAATTCTGTGTTTCCATCTCTCATTACTTAAGGTGATCGAAGGTCTGGTCTTCAGATAACTGAGATTTTGCTACTACAAACCTACTATACAGGGAAAGACAGCCTACCTGTAAGAGTGAAACTCTTGCTGGCTGTGTAACTTGGGTCAGGTAACAACCTCAGCCTCACACTACCTCTACTTGTCTCACAGAGTTACTATGAGAATTAAAATATGTGCGAACAAAATACAACACCACGTACAAATATTAGCTGTCATTCATTCTTGCATCTGTCAAACTACTTTGGGGGAAACAAGGCCTCAGATACACCACAGGAATGCCACAGAATCCTTACTCAAAAATATTCCCCACATACATTACACCAATTAGACATTCATTCATTTCCATAAACAAGTTCCTCTTTCAAATATCCCTTTGGCAGAACTAACCCTATTGGTCATTTATGCTTTTGTATACTGCTTTGTTACTAGAAAACAATGTAGCTTGCCTTGAATTTTAGTTAACTGTGCATGTGTCCTCTCTCCACTACATCAATAATTTTTAAAGAGAAAAATAAAATACTCCAGCAGCTGTACTCTTAAAATATAATGTTCAATATTTCTAATTTTATTCAATGGGGACCGAGGTCCTATTGCTTTATTATACACACTTTCAACAGCAAATATCCAGTCTTTAACAAAGGCAAGAGAAGTGAAAGAGAACTAGAAATAGTTAAATCTCAATGAATGAAAGAGGTGGCAACTACCTTTTACAAAATGCCTACCTGCATGCATACCTACACACCATTTCCACACACTTCCTCTAATCTCATTTAAAACTCGAAACAACTCTCTGAACAACAGATTATGGATGAGAAAAACAAGGCTCTCATCAATGAATGGATTTTTGTTTGAGAACTTAGGGGAAAAGAGACAAAAGGTATAAAGGGACATAGGTTAGGCTCCTGCTTTGAAGTGCCTGTTCTCCTGAAGCCTTCTTTCACTGTAGGATCTATATGCTTTCCTTAATCCTGAAGGACTTCCATACCAAAATGAGACTATTTGCTCAAATTATTTTGAAAGAAGATGGAAAAAGTAATGTAGAACTTGTATGTATTACTGACAGGAGAAACTGAAGTTTTAAAATAGATTACATAACTTTAACTCTAACAGGCCATTACAAACATAAACACATTAAATCAAACTTAACAATTTTACCCCATGCCTGAGTCTTCTTACTTGTAAACAAGATCAGAAGCTACCTATCACAGCAGTAGGCATAAACACTACATCTTACATCCTCGATTTTGCTAGACATTGCCCAATCACATCTAAGTAAGTTCTTAATCTCAGACTCATTCAACAAGAAATGTAACTATTAATGAAAAAAATATGTAACATAAAACCTATACTAGGCTACACTGCTGCAGTGATACACCCTTACAATTCCAACACTGAGGGAGGTTAAGACGGGAGCATCGAAAGTTCCAGCCCAACCTGGACAACTGAGCAAGACCATCTCAAAGTGAACAATAAATGGGCTGGGGATGTAGCTCAGTGGTAGAGCACCCTGGGGTTTAGCTCCTGTAGTATTAAAAAAAAATCATAAAACGTAATGATACTACAAGCAGCCACCCACAAAACTATTTAACAGTACTGTCAATTCAAACACTATTCCAGTGAGTCATGTTATGAAAAACTTGAAATCATCTATTGAAGAGAAACCTGTTTTCCAAAACTTGACTGTAGAGAAAATGATAGTATAAATTATGATATGAAGCACAAAGTAAATGCTGCTCAAAATATGAAGAAATGGGAAGACTGTTGTCAGGCAGTTAATGAGAAATTAAAATGTGTCAACTTTCCTTAATTTCTTAGTAGTTCTCAGTTTGAAATTTTTTGTAATGTGTTGTTTTCCTGTTCTAATACTCCCTTTCACACTTGCAAGAAACACATAAAATATCAGGCCTTGTCACATTTACACAACTGTAACTTACAATAATTTGTCAGAAAAAAAGTACTGGTATTTTCGTTTTCATTTCAAATATATATGAGTGACTGCAAACTTGCAATCCATGCTGAAGAACCTTCAGCAAAAAGTTTTTATTCATTAAGTCCATGTCATAGGCCTCTTCACTGGGCATCAGTGTACGGAGGAGAGTCTAAAGTTGTTAAAACACAGTAAATACAATGCGCCCGCATCTCATTTGACGTCTGACAGGTTCAAACTGTGACGTATGTACAACTGGGCAATGCATACATGCGGGAAGTCCTGGGAAATGGACCCTTTCAACTAATGTATTCAGGAGCTGGGGAAATGAACAAAGAGGAACAGTTTCCAAGCAGAAAAGAGGTCAATCAGGTTCATGAAACTAGGTGGAAACTAAGAAATGAAATCCATGCTATAATTTATGTCAGATTAAACAGTATTTTGCTTTAAAGTAAATGGCTTCCTTTAAAGTGTCAAAGTAGCCCCAAAACTTGAGTGAATTCTTTTGAATGTTATTCAAATCTCTACAAAACGTCGTCCACCTAACAAAAACTGAGCTTAATAAAAAAAAAAAAACTGCACAGACGACCCCAATACTCTTCTTTGCTCGACCAAAAAAGAAAAAACCAAGAACAAAGCCAAAAGTACAAGATCATCAAATTTTGGTCACTGTTAATAGCAAAACACAGAAGTATTTACAAATGTTAAAAGTACTCCCATTCTTAAAAGGCAGCTTAAACTTCAAAACCATTGTCAGCAGTCTTTCGTGGTGTCTAAATCGAAAGCACTTTGTGGAAACTGCCGGTAGAGCTTCTACTACATAATAAACCCTCCTGCGGCGGCCCCAGCGTCCGCGGCGCTCACACTATAAAGTATGAACTGCCCCGCAGTCCGTGCTCCTTTTGAAAAGGACTCGAGCAGAAACGCCCTGAACCAACTGGAGCGTGGAGCGCCCAGCGGAGTGAAATCCCCCAGAGGGCCCGCAGCGTTTAAAGCTACAAAAACCCGGCTGTCGACTTCGCCTGGATTCTTTTTCTGTTTTGTTTTAATCCGCCTGTAGCAGCAGCATAAATTCAAAGGCGGAGACTGGGATCGCCTGCCAAGCCTCCTCCCGGGGTCACACCGAGAGGCACCTCCCGGTTCACGCCAAGTCCACCCCCACCCTCTTTCGCCATTCATCGCCTCCTCCCCTCCCCCCATCATGTGACCGCAGCCTGGACGCCAGGCTTGTTTTTCCCCTCGGCTCAGCCCCACCGCGCAGGCGCCTCGGAGCCCATTCATTCGAACTGCGTAACAATGAGCCCCGGGGCCCAGCGGCTCCGCGAGCTGGGAAGCTCGGCCCGAACCTCTCTCGGCCCGCGGGGCGGCGGCGCGTCCCTGGGGTCCGCCAGCCCCGGCTCGGCCCGGCCTCTGGTCGCGCCCAGCCACCGACCCTCTGCCGCAACTAAGGAGTTGAAGTCAAACTTTCCTGTGAACCCTGGCGCGGCGCTGACCCCCCTCCCCGCGCCGGCGCGCCCCGTCCCGGCG